GTTTCACTGTGTGATATATCTAATAAACAAACTAATATGGAATTACTTACTACCACAGTGCCCAAGTTTTACACGTATATTAATTAGTTATAACTCAGTTGGCCCTGTGCCGGGTTATGAGCCAATCTAATTGATTGTATGTAAGTGCTGATGATACATACTAGGCAGCCGATTGACTAGTTGAGTTTCAACACAGAACAACTTTGTACAAATGCGCAGCACAACAAGTTGCCACATTCTCTCCATGTGGCATACAAAGCAAGAGAAATGAGTAAAGAGAGATTCAAAAGAGAGATGTGAGGCAAAAAGAATAGTAATATATATAGAAGAACAATAAAGTTTTATTGGGTATTATAAGTCACAAGAAGTAGATGCATCTGCGCCAACTACTGAGAACGATTTTGAGTCAACCAGAAAGCCAATCTACACCTCCCTACGTGGCTGGCTTAAACTAACTGTTGTGGATTTCATTGACTGACAAGGCCATGCTTTGGTTTGGCCACCACTAGCTCTTTTCCAACTTGATTCATCCTATGTCAGCTATCATTGCTCGACAAAGAACGCGGCGGCTCAGAATGTATAACACATATATCTTAGCCATCTCAATCGAAGCACCTTCACAAAACTCGATGCCCAACTTCGATATTACTCATCCTATTAGGCTACCTAGCATGGGAAGGGTAATAAGCAGACACCACTGATCAAAGACAACTAGCCTTTACATGTCTTCCACTCTCATTGATCATATGTCACAGCCAAATAAAAGGACAGAGAGAAATGCTGTGAAGTACACACACATCTTTTGATCGATAGATGCATATCGCGTCTACACCAGTGATGGCACATACGTTGGCAAATGCCACGCAAGCCTTTTGTATCCGTGCTGAGATTTCGTCAGCAATCAACCCGTTGGCGTTGGCGCTGATGCAAATTCCCAAATAAGTGAAGCGGTCAACACATTCAGGCACCACTTCACTACTGCCTACCTTTAAAGCTAGGAGTTGATGTAGCCCAGTCGCGTATGTCGAACAGTTGAAGACTGAAGCTCAAGGTGTTGAAACGACTTTGCATTCTGTTAACGTCGGGAGCTTCAAATTTAGCTCCACTTATTTTAGCCTGGAGTAGGAGGATCTGGACTTCACCGATGATATATGTCTGATTTCTCACAAACTGGAAGATATGCAAGCGAAAAGCAACAAGTTGGCAGAAGAAGCATCAAATATAGGACTTCAGGTGAACATAGAGAAAACTGAGGTGATGAAGATTCCTGGGCAACACCACCAACAGCAACAACAACAAGATACAACAATCAGCATAGATGGAAGGAACCTGAAAGAAACAACCTCCTTTATCTGCCTGGGAAGCATCGTTTCAATTACAGGCGCACGGAACTGATGAGGATATCAAAGCAAGAATCGGTAAAGCAAGACAAGCTTTCACTACTCTCAAGTCTGTGTGGAGGTCAACAGCACTCTGCATCAAAAATAAGATACGGATTTTCGACTCCAATGTGAAGTCAGTCAGTGCTACTATACGGATCAGAGACTTGCACTGCGCGTGATAAAGAGCATCTCAAACAAACTACAGACCTTCATTTACAACAGTTGTCTTCACTCAATACTCAAGATGAGATGGCCGGCGCCAGAAAAGATCAGCAACAGAGATCTCTGGCAACGAGCGAACCAACACAGCAGGAACCAATTGTGAAACAAATAGGCAGGAAGAAATGGAGATGGATTGGCCATACTCTGAGGAAACAATCAAGTGACATCACTAGAAAAGCCATTGCTCGAGTGGAACCCGAAAGGGAAGCGGCGAGTTGGTCGTCAGTGCAAGGGTGACTTGGAGGAGGTCGTGTGAAGAGGAGATGAAAACGTGTGGGTAGACTTGGAGCCAGGTGAAGACTCTAGCAGAGAACCGAACGCAATGGAGACGCTTGGCTGAAGCCCTATGTTCCTTTAGGAATTAAAGGAAACAATAATATAATAATAATATAATATATTTTAGCCTGGGAAACTCGGTAGTGTTATCATCAGACCTGTTACCAAAGATTTTTTTAGTTTGGTCCATAACTTTTCTGCAGTGCTTGTTTGTTTAAAACTGACTACTGTTTTGCTAACACAACTCGTTCAACATCAATCACTCCAACAGACAAACTTCAATCAAGATTATGGGGAAGAAAAGATGAACCACACAAGATCTCACCGTTTGTGCGAGGGCTGGGATACAGCCCGGATGCTCAGACTAAAGCAGGCGGTTGTTTCAAACGGCTAGCGCCAAGCCTTCGACTTGATATCTGCTGATCTACAAATCATTGGAGCCACATTAGCATCTGAGTTCCTATATGGTTTCCGGTGACCGAAACGCATTCATTGGACAGTCACCAAAGGTTTGGAATTAGCGTCCTCCAATTCCCAAGGTAGACCTGCATATCTGCTAGTCTGGCTGTAAGCGCCAGACATTCAAATTTGTCCTTTCACTTTTGTGAGGAACACCCAACCTGCAGTGTGTGGGCAGTGAATACGCCTTAATTGGCAGAGGCTATGAACATGTGTAACCAGCCATATATGATTATTTCAAGTGGAAGACCGAAGTCTACTCACTCTGAGCCGCACCAAATAGTTTATGGGTGGGGTGGTGGTAAGTATCATCAATTTTCATACAAGAAGTTTGTCTAATAGCCTGGAAAAATCCTCTCCCAAATGCCCAAGTTGTAGAAAAATATTCGTCGAATATATTCCCTCCTCACCTTGAATCCCACCATTTTTTCCAGTTATGTACAAAACATCATGCATCAAGCTGAAGAGACTGAATAAAAACGATTGTCAGTCTATGAACAAAATTTGGACGTGTCCGACTGCTTCTCGCTACATATACGTATAAAACAGTTACCTGGCTTTCACCAATATGTTAGATTAACCCATTAAGAGTTGAAGTGTACTAACTGTCCAATAGTGGGCAGTGGTCACTGACAGGAGAAGACCTATGATGATCTCCAAAGTATTGTCAGTATTTAATGATGACATTATCCCGTTAAGCACAGAGTTTTAGACAAGTCAATTGATAAGGTAGGTAAGTATATAAATCTGCAGAGAACCCACCTGCACCAGACTGCATGTAATGCTATTAAAAGATCTTCTTCAGCATCTAGTTGAAGAATAGTCACACTAAGGTGTGTTATATTCATTCACGAAGTGTCTCCCTAACTTCTCCTATGAGTAGTCTATGGAAATTTTAAGTTGCCTGGCTTGATGCGTCATGCACCCACCCTACCTACAGGAGCCGTTAATTTACTCGCTAATATGACTGACAATTAGTCACAGTGGTACAAATACTACTGTCTTGAATCATCCTATAACCTTCATTTCTCCTAATACAGAGTAACACAAGGCCCCAAAATGTTAGTTTACTAACAACTACTAAACAAATCCAAAGAGGTGTTCCGGTTGAACAAGTTGGAAGCAACCTCTTCATCATCAAATTAGATCACAAACTGACCTCAGTTAAAGAATCAGTGATACTCACAGGAGTACTAGATAGATGCTTCGTCCAAACTTATCAACCGATACGGGGATTCGAACCTAGGACATTCAGTTGACTATAAAATTCAAATTGCTACCAACTGGCCATATAACAGCGCCAACACCAGCTAATGTCATCAATGAGTAACTATCCTCTCACACTTAACCCACTGAACTCCACTGGTCGGTCAGGACATCTCCCTGTAACTCTTACAACTGAATAATTGGCAGACTCGCCTTGTGGTGAGAACTGACTGCAAGAAAAAATTGTAGACAACAATCTACGTCAATGTTCATGTCCCGAATCAAGGTCATAAGAAAAAACACAATAACGAAGTTTAACCTTGAGGAACTCAACAACCAATCACAGTGGACTTAGCGTGTGCAAATACGATTCGCAGATGTGTGGCTTAACTTTCTGAGAAACAGCAACAAAAAGATGACAGAATAATCTTCAGCAAGAAAACAACCAATCAGAAGACGTTGTTTCTCCGTTAACAATAACGCTTATAATAATGTACATAAAAATCTATAAGTACCTCTTGATTTTCTCAATAAACGATCTGTTGACTGGTTCTTGCATTCTGTCGTTACAGTCTGATTAACTCTAAAGCTCCTGCAATCAATCTCCACAGAGGGGTTTGCTCGTAAGTAAGGCTGAGAGGAGTCACACACACACACATACCCTAAGGTGGAACACACAATATCTATGTGTGTGTGTGATCTGTTTAACACCTACCGAGAATGACAATCAAGAAATTAAAAAAACAAAAATTCACCACAACATATACTACTGATAGGCTAACCGATATAAGTAGTCGACAATCAAATACCATTCATACACGCACACACACACACACAGAAAATCAAGCACTGAAATTGAAAAAATTCAAAAAGTGCGCCACAATACAACACAAAATAAAAACAAAAACTCTTCATACTTGAATACTCTTTTTATTGAACAATTTTTTTTGCTTGTTTAAATAACAATAAAAATAACTATAATATTAAATAATAATACTGACAAAACAGGAAGCAAAAAAGGCGGTAACAACAAGAGAGAAAGAAAAAAACGCAGAAACGATTTGTTTTATGAAACTGGTATAAAAATGTGCTTCTCTCTTATTTATTAAAGGCATATCGGCAGAGTCTTGGTGTTATATACACGCACAGACACAGATATGTTTTACTAAAAAGCGAACGGAAAGTAAGGCAGTGACAAGGAACTCAGACACACACACACACGTGCAAGCATACAAATTGTGTGCAGACAACCAGATACAGTGTGTAATAAGGTGTACAATGAGATACTGTATGGTAGAGGGGAAGCGAGGAGGAGGAAGGAAATAAGGGTCATCCATCAATCAACCAAGGTACGCACGCCCGTATGCATACGTATATATATATATATCACAATTTTTCCGAAGAATTTACATCCTTCGAAGTCAGGATGAATTCAATTCAATTCAATTCACATGATTATTGCTGACTGATAACAAGTCGTGAAACATCACGAGCACAAAAATATGTCCGACAAGTTGGACATGGTACACGTCCTGATAGCCATTGATTCGGTGGACGATGATTATTTGTCTGACGTGAAGCGAACCAACGAATCAGGCATTCTAAACACCATAATGGTCGACAATAGCATATACCGCATTGATTACCACTCTCTGATTGATTATTATTATTGTTATTATTAATAGGCGCTTGTGCCGGTGGTGAAGATGTCGAAGAGGTCTGAGAAGTTTCACATTGACGATTCAGTGTAACATTGGCTTGATGAACCATACAGCCAATGCATTGTTCCAGTTCCTGAAAAAGAAGAAGAAGAGGTAAGAGTGGTTAAATGTATTATATTACCTAAGCCCAGTTTACTAGCAGTTCCTACACCCAAAAAAAAATGGAGCCTAATTAACAAGGATTAGAAACAAATAAAACAAAACACAAAACTTCAGAAGAATTGATCTATTCTGTCTACTGATAATTTATAAAAGGACTTCATGATGTCAATCTCATGACCTGTATCAAGGAGATGCCTGGCAATGACACTTCTGAAGGCTAAGATAATCCTTAGTTAGCAATCTCTCCAGATGTTTCCTTTTCATGTACAGAATATATTCTTAATACGCATTTGCTAATATATATACACACACACACACTTTAAGCGTGGAAATTATGATAAGAGACACTTATTTGGTGCAACTTTTACATTGAATCAGTTATGCAGTAAAATAAACAAAGTTACACTGTATTGCTCGATTGAATAACAGCATACGGACTTCTGCAACTCAATAATATAACGGGAACTTTTCTTCGCTGTCTTCTTCCCAGTAATTACGCGCAAAAAGCCAAAATCCATCAACTGTGTCTAACACTGATAATAACAGTCAAAAATAACAACTTTAGACAAAATTGGATTGCCTTATTACAAGATTAAAAATGTCTACAGGGTATATGTGTAAAGCTTGGGCACTGTGGTAGAAAGTAATTCCAGGGGAAAATATACAAACAAACTGAGGGAGTTGCCATGGGGTTACCAATATCCCCGGTTGTAGCAGATATATTCATGGATAAGTGGGAAAGCATGGCGACTGAAACGTTCACCCCCACCCACACCTAAAGTATGGTGGAGGTATGTAGGTGACACATTCACTGTACTTAGAACACAAGATACAGATAGATTTTTCGAACACATCAACTCAAAGGTGGAGGCAATTCACTTCACCTATGAATTGGAAAGTCAAGAAGGGGAGCTCCCAATGTTAGATTGCAACGTAAAAAGGAAAGAAGATGGGAAGTTAAACACACTGGTGTGTGTTTACAGGAAACCCACATATTCAAATAGATATTTGGACTTCCGATCATCCCACCCACCGTATGTCAGTGAAAATATGATTGGTGAAGTGTTTAAGTGACAGAGCACAAAAACTAAGTAGTACCAAGGAAAATCTAAGACAGGAAGTGATACACATAAAAGAAGCCTTGAAACTTAATAATTACCCGGATAAATTAGTCAGGAAATATGTAAGGAAATGCAAAAATAAAATAAATATGATAGTAGTGATATTGATAATAATAACAATAATATTAGTAGTAATAATAATATTAATGACGACACCAACAATAAGGAATCTAAATCATCAGTAATAATTCCATACAAGGAAGGAACCTCAAAAACCACCTTACGCAGAATTCTTAACAAGGCAAGCAGGAATAAAAGTGGCTGCTGGCATTCAAACCAACCACGAACTCAATTAGAAACAAGCTTTGTAGGTTAAAGAATCAATCCTGTGGAGCCCGTAAAACAAAACAATCTAGTTTATCTAATACCCTGTCTGCAATGATTGTCAGGTCAAATACATAGGTCAAACTAGTAGAACAGGAGCAGTCAGACTAGCTGAACACAAAAACCTAACAAAATCTTGATTAGTTGACCCTAATAAGAAAAGAAATCTAGAGAATAGTTCAGTTATCCTACTCACTACATGCAGTTACACACAACCATACAATTGGATGGGATGGGATAGGATGGTAGTTTCAAAATTTAATGTCACAGGGTATAGGGAGAGATTGATAACAGAAGCTTTGTTTATCGAATCAACTGAGAGCGAATACATGTAATAGGAATGATTCAACACCTGTCCACCCAGATATCTGGAAAATTCTACTACCCCTACGATGACAAACAGGAGAGAACAAAGAAAACTATAAAACTCAAGTTTCGAAGTCGTGTGATTATAATTGATGACATGATTATGAACAATAAATTTTGTTCGGAACGTCATCCAGTAAATAATACTGTTTCTTCACTGTGTGATATATCTAATAAACAAACTAATATGGAAATAAAACAATGGGCTGATCACTTTAAAGGATTTTTGAAGCTAGCATCACCTGCAACTCATCCAGAAGTACCAACAACACCACGCACAGTAGTGCCAGTAGACATCATTCCTCCAACAAAATCAGAAGTCGTGAATGCAATCAAGCTACTGAAGGCGGGGAAGACAGTAGGGTCAGACGGAATCCCATCTGGAGAGTTGAAAACAGAACCAGGGACTGCCAACGCCCCTATTGTATGAAGTTTGGAAGGAAGGGAAGGTGCCTATCGATTAGAAGAAAGGTGGGCTACTTTGTCCAACCAACAAAGAAGGGCGACTACTTAGGCCTCTGCAAAGACTGGTGTAGAATAATGAACTTATCCACGCCAAGTTATATACTACGTCGCGTCATTCTGGAGAGAATAAAAGGTGAACTGGGTGCAGGACTCCAAACGGAACAAGCTGAATTTAGGTAAACCAAATCATGTGAGGATCAAAGTGCAACTCTACGCATCCTTGTCATCACAGAACAAAGCGTAGAATAACAGTCAAACCTCTACCTCAACTTCACAGACTTCGAAAAGGCCTTAGACACACAGTGTTGACCAAGGAGTAATTTAGAAATTGCTTCAACGCTACGATGAGCAGTGCCTAAATCTTTATTGACCATATTCAACAGCTAAATAGCAATGGCACATGTCAAGTGATCCACAACAGAAAACTCACTGAGGCGTTCAAAGTGAAGACAGGAACAAGACAAGCTGGCTGCCTGTCTAATATCACCGATGGTATACTAAATTGTGGTGGACTTGATTATGCGTCAGACTATGTAATGGGAGTGAGAAGGCAAGAATACGCTGGACCATCGATAAGAAACCTCTAGAAGATCCGGATTTCACTGACGATTTATCTCTTAAGTCACACAAACTCGAAAAATTGCGGGCGAAAACCAACAAACTGGTTGAAGAGGCTGACTGGCAACGAAGACAGGGCTACAGGTGAACATAGAGAAGACAGACGGAGGTGATGAAGGTAACCAACCAACCAAACAACAGCAACAACAACAACACCAATCACCATCAACGGGAGAGATATGACAGAGGTTATTTCCTGCCTTCACATATCCAACCAAGAAGCACAGTTTCAATCACAGCCAGTTGGACGGCACGGATGAAGATGTCAAAGCAGGCCAGTCAGAATCGGAAAGGCAAGATACGGCTTCATCAACTTGAAACCAGTTTTGAAATCTTCTGCACTCAGTCAGCATGTGGAAAAAGATTCGGATTTTCAACACAAATGTGAAGTCATTCAGTTAGTCACTTCTTCTATACGAGTCAAAAACTTCGCCAGCCCATCACGAAAAGCATTTCCAACAAGTTACAGAATTTTATCAACAGCTGCCACCTTCCCTGGCTGAATCCATACTGAAGATCAAAAAAGAATTAGCAACAAGAAACTCTGGGTGGCTGGGATCAAACCAACAGGCGAGGGCCAACTGCTCAACAAATGTGTAGGAGAAAATGGAGATGGATTGGTCGGGTGAACGTTAAGGAAGGAGGCCGTCGAATGACATCACGTCCCAGCCAGACCATCGCTCAAGTGGAATCCAAATAGGAAACGACGAGCGAGTCGTCCTAGGATGACATGAAGGAGATCGTGTGGAGGGGAGGATTATGGGCAATTAATGCGATGAGTAAGCCCCCAAATTGAAAAAAAAACAATAAAACAAACATATTTTCGTCGGGAAATATGTAACGTGTGATGTTTAATACGTAAAACACGTGAAGAAGAAGAGTACAAAAGTGGTGTGTGATTCGTATGTGCGTGTGTGTGTGTGCAAGTGTATGATTGAGATCGTATGATGCTTTCATTGAATTAACTGCTCAAGTGAATCAAATGCTTCCTTACTGCTTTGATTACCATAATTATTGTTACCACAACCATAGTAGCATTCCCATGACTTTATATTCGATGTGTTTATTTTTATTGGGAAGAGTACAATCATTCTGGATTATTTTAAATCGATCAATATTTACAGCAATAAACTATGCAAAAAGCAGACGAATCAAATCAATAACATTATTAATATTTATATCTATGAAGACTTCACCAAGAACCAACACAGGGAATGTTCGATAGCTGTTTCGTCCCAGATTAGAACTCTTCATCGTCAGTGCACACCTTCAGCATATAGGAAGTCAACTCGTTAACCAATCAGTTACTTGAGGCTGGGATTCAATGATGCATGCATGAGCATTTCAACTTTTGTCAATTTAAGATACATAACGGTACAGATCAGGTTGGATTCAGGAGGAACATGCCATGCATCGATCAAACTGCAAAACTGCGTATTATCATTGAACAGAGCTTGGAATGGCTGTCAGCTGTCTACCTCAAATTTATCGACTATGAAAAGACACCTTCGATAGCACAGCGTCGATTGAGACGTGATTTGGAAACTACTTCACTACTACAGGGTGCCGCCAACAAATATACACCCCAATTCAACAGTTGTACGATAATGCTGAATGCCAAGTAATCCAAAAAGGGAAACTCACGGAATCCTTCGAAGTGAAAACAGGAGTAAGACAAAGCTGGCTGTCTACTATCTAAAATGATTAATTTCCTGATTCCAGTAGACTGGATAATGCGACACACGGCGGGCTGGGCAACGGGAGATGGAACGCAGGCACATATGATCAAAGGTGGCTAGCCGGACTTTCCATGTCTTCCACTTTCAATGGCCAGGTCTCACAACCAGCCACTAAGGAGGATGGAACGGACTGTTGAGCAGTACACACACCCTTTGGTCGACAATCAGCAGGATATCACGTCTACACCAGAGACAGCGTAAACTGGCACATTCAAAACGAGCCTTCTGTATCGGTGATGAGGTTTCGTCAGCGATCAACCAATTGGCTCTGACTGATGCAGCTTCCTAAATAAGCGAATTAAGTGGTCAAACACACTACCGCTTCACTCGTGTCTATCTTTAAGCTAGGAGTGGTCGATGTAGTCCAGTCCTGTAGCCTCATCATCTTACACTTGACAGCAGACTGGATTTCATTGACTGATGAAGCCATATTTTTGGTTTGACCACCACTAAAAGCTCTTTTCCAACCTGATCCATCTCTTATGTCAGTTAACATTGCCCGTTGTCCATGAAGGCGATGCATGTCTAGGCATGCATACGTAACACAACATGTCCTAACCATCTCACTCAATCGATATAACTTCACAGTCTAATTGCAAGCACTTTTTATCAGCATGCTTATAATTAATACATGACAGATTCAAAAAAGTAAAAACACAATTCGAGGTGACTTACATAATCAGCCGGTAGTTTAACAGGTGGATTTTCATCAACAATTTGTGTAAACACTTCAATAAAACGCTGAATTATTGTCGGCTCCAACTGAACACCTTGTGCACGTATAAGGGAACATTGAAGTTTACTACGCAATTCATCTAAATTCGATGCAGGTAATCTTTTAATTTGTTGGAAAAAAAATAAAATAAAGAGGATATGAAATAACAAGGAAAAAAGAATTCTCAAGTGTTAAAGTTTGAACAGCTGCGCTTCGTCCTACTTTGTGACTCTTCAACAGCACGCGCCCACCATATCAGCGCCAGGGACTAAACCTAGGACCTTCAGGTTACGATACCAGACCTATTGATTATTCAGACACTGAGACGGACCAACCGATGAATTCTAACTTCTACCGAGTGATGATTGTTTGCGCCACTCACCAGCCAGGCAGCCAGCCATTGTTATAAGTATAAAACTTGGGCACTGTGGTAGAGTGTAACTCCATTGTGGATAAGATTTTATTTTGATAAATCACACAGTGTTACACAGTAATATTAACTGATGATATGATATGAGCAATAATTTGTGCTCGAAACGTCATCAGTTAATATTACTGTGTAACACTGTGTGATTTATCAAAATAAAATCTTATCCATAGTGGAGCCAGCCATTGTATTTGTCATCACATCCTCCTTGATTGGCGCTACTAGTCGCGATTTCTTGATAGGACTTCAGGTAACTTCGTCGTGCAGTCAATCAGTCTTTAGGGAGCACTAGATAAATTTTCAAATGTCAGTACTTCCTGAATTTAACGGCGGTCAGCTTAAAACTTGGGCTACTAAAAACATCCATCTCTCCAATGCATTTATTTTCCCTCGTTCTGTTTATTTTAACTGACTAAGTTATGCAATTTGTGAATGGTGACTAGCAGTGGAATTAATCCAGGATGATGCGCATTTCGTCCTATTTGGGACTCGTCAGCTATCGGGATGTACTTGCATTTCCCAGTGAGTGAGTGAGTGAGTGAGTGAGTGAGTGAGTGAGTGAGTGAGTGAGTGAGTGAGTGAGTGAGTGAGTGAGTGAGTGAGTGAGTGAGTGAGTGAGTGAGTGAGTGATGATGTTCCCACCGAGGCTCGAACCCAACGCCCATAGTTTCAAACACCTGCCAAAGCGTTATCCACTGGACCACTTGGGCCACGAGAACCACCTCTTGAGCAACGGGTCATATTAATTATTTACTTGAATTTTAGATTTTCCTGTCGATTGATTGGAACGAAGTGCTCGGTCTCAGGTTGACATGTCGGCTTCTTCTTGTGCAGATGCTTCGACGATGTCTGGGCATTTAATCAGAGGTTAATTGGTGGATAATGACTAGCAGTGGAATCCAGGATGCGCATTACTAATTAAATGCCCAGACATCGTCGAAGCATCTGCACAAGAAGCTGACATGTCAACCTGAGACCGAGCACTTCGGTTATTGTCTACTCTTGTGTGTTCAAATGTTTACAAGCTTCTGATTCGCAAGTTCCTACTAAACTTAAGGAATGACCTGATTACGCGTGCAGTGTGTTCCTATAAATGAGCTAACTGTTCTTCAGTTATGTCCTTGGTTCACAAAATGTCCTTCTGAATATCTTGGGGCGGATTTCTTGAAGGAGACAAAGCACATATATATCATAATGGAATAAATGGTTTGTGCTTTAGTTCAGAGACCATTGTATGTCACAGGAAGTATATACTGTCAATTAATTAATATTTTACTTGAAGATATTGTACGAAGCAGGAAATATCATACAATAAACTCCTCTGAAAATTCTGTACATTTTCTAAATACTGTCCAGAATAAAGATGTTATTATTATTATTATTCGAATGGTTCTCTAACTGATGTTTAACCCCCGATCAAACTTCACACCAATAATTATTACTATTATATGCACGGAATATTATCAAAGGATTATTTATTATTATTCACAGAACTCAGTTACCCAGTACTGATGTGGGGAGGGGAGGAGGGTTATTTTACTACCTAGTTGACCATGTGAAACAGATGAAGCAGGACTCGAACCCGAGACCCATTGACTGATAATAGGTTAACAAACGATACACCTACCCTAAAAACGCAACCGAATAACTCAAAATAGCTCAATGAAAGCACAAAGAAAATAGTCCTGGTATATTCAGATGAACATCATCAATGATATCCCTTCAAGACGTACTGTTCGTCTTCACACCCACCAGCAGAAACCAGCAATACATGCAGACAACTGTGAACATCAATTCAACTAAGGAAAAATATATTAAGTCTTCTAGAAAGCGTACAGCAAAAAATGCCAAAGAATTTCTAGAAACTTAGGACTCAGACGAATTTGCGATCAACACACACACACAGATTGACACAAGTCAGATTCAGATGGTTGTGGGCAATCGGCCACAGGAAACCCTGCCTGATCTAGGTTTCGTGCTAGTTGGTACTCACCACCAGTCAGTCAGCAAGGCGTATTTGCTACCTCGAAGAAACTCATATCCCTTATGAGATTCGAACTAGCGTCACCCAGTGCTGACTGCAGTCAGAGACGTTACCACCACTGAGCTATCCGGCATGGGGATTCACTTTCTTTAGAACTGTTGTAATGGATACTGTTGATTGGACAATAGATAGCAAGTAGTGTAATGTATGTCTAGTCCTTTGTTTAGTGCAGACAGAATTCTATCAGCCGAGTAAGAACAAGCACGCAGCCTAGTTCCATGCAAGGCTTTCTGATGACCGTCTCCAACTATCCAATATCAACAATTCACAGTGTGCACCAATGTGAGATGGCTGAGCCACCAAGCGGTATAGTGGCCACACATTGTAAACTTGACTGACTGACAGAATTCAGTCTGCACCAAAGAAAGGACTAGACACGTTACACTAGTAGATTATCTCCAGTCAGAAACAATTACATCCAAACTCACTGGAAGAGACGACTGACAAACTCAAGGAGAATTAATTCTAAACGCTCATTTCATAGTAAAGATAGTGTTGAAGATGTTCTCTAGAAGAAAGACAATGTGAAGACTTCATAAGTGGACCATCCAACTCAACGAGTACAATGGAACCAATGTCATCCGCTTTGAGTGACAAATCTTTTCTATCGTTTCTAGTTCAGCGAAAAACCTGCTTTCGACGATTTCATCCTTTCTGTGTTTTTTTATCTGAATCATTTACCTAACTACTTATGCTATCTTTTCTGTTCGTTTGTTACGTAATGTATTCTAGCAGATATTTGTGAGCTCTTTTCATGAGCTGACATCGGTTAGAGAACCATCGGAAAACCTGGGAGTAGTGGAAAGCTGTTTCGTCAGCCCGGTTTGGGACTCTTCATCAGTACGTACCCACTGCACTGGGGTTCAAACCCAAGAACTTCTGGTTACTTGATATGATTATGAGTGGCAATAGTCTGCGCTCGAAACACGGTCATCAGTTAATATTATTACTGTATAACACTCCACTGTGTAATTTATCAAAATAAAATCTTATCCATAATGTAGTTATACTCTACCACGCAGTGCCAAAGTTTTATACTTATATTTTATTAAATTTTGATTTCGATTACAGCTTGATGCCACACCGTATTTTCAGTACAAGTATGGAATTTTCAGCATGGTTACCGGTAGCCCAAATTTTGCAGGCCGACCATAGATATCGGGTGTGCGTCGGCAGGGGATCGAACCTCCCACCATGTGCATGGTCGGCAAGAGTCCTAACCACTATGCCACCGACGCCATCGGCAACTACAGAACACAGGATGAAAATGCAGATGTACTTCTGAAGTCCAATGCTCCACTCACAACCCAAGGAAATAATCAATAATCAATCACCACCTTATTCTGCACAATTCACTGTTTTTGCTTTATTAAAATTCATACAAGGGAATCAGTGTGTGAAGATTCTTTCCAATTACTAATCAGTATATGAAACTATGGTGTACACTGATTGGTGTATTCAACTTTTCGCCGAATGAATAAGTCGAATGAAGATAAATTTTCCCAACCTCCCAATGAAAGAAACATCACGGAACAGATTGAGAAGCAGCTCACAGACTTCTTGAAGAGAATAAAGGTCAGTTAACTAATCAGTGGGGATATCTATGACCAGATCCAGCCAACAGGTTCAATAATACCAAAACTTTATGGTTTACCAAAGGTACACAAGGTTGGTCTCCCACTTCGTCCAATTCTGGATATGTCAGGTTCTCCTTACCACTCTATTGCAAAATGGCTAGCAGATATTCTGGAACCTGTAAGGAAACAATTATGTACGCACTCGCTCCGTGACACCTTCCAGTTCATCGACTGCATACAAGACATGAATGTATCTAACAAAATTATGCTGTCCTTCGACATTGAGTCACTTTTCACCAATGTCCCACTCACGGAAACGGTCTGCTTCATATGCAAATATATAGATGACAACCATCTCAATATTGGAATACCAAGAACATATTTCAAAGAATTACTATTGAGATGCACTCTGAACGTCCAGTTCACATTCAACGACACCATCTACAGACAAAAAGATGGTATTGCAATGGGATCTCCGTTGGGTCCACTACTATCAGATTGCTTCGTGGTAAGTCTGTCTGTCTGTTTTCGACATAGAACTTTGCACTGATGTGCGGCAGTTCAAGTCGCCACAATCCATGTAGCACACAAAGGAAGAGAAGAAAGTAGGAGAAATGCATATTAGAGACAGTAGACAGAGGTGTGGGACAAAGGAGTAGTAATAACGAAGAACGAACAGTTTCATCGGAAATCATAAGTCACAAGGAGTGGATGCATCTGCGCCACTGAGAACGATTTTGAGCCATGTCACCAATTGTTTCCAACCATTGGTTTTTACCATCCCGAGGACCCCAACCAGGAAGTCTACATCTCCCTACGTGACTTAGACTAACTGTTGTGGATTTCATTGACTGGTGCCATGTTTTGGTTTGACCACCGCTAGCTCTCTTCCAGCCTGGCCCTATATCAGCTAACATTGCCCGTCGAGGAAGGCGATGATTAGGCATCCGTAACACATGTCCCAACCATCTCAGTCGATGTAATTTCACAGTCTCATCGATTGATTTCCCCGCCTTACCTAGAACTCGACGCCTAACCTCAATATTGCTCACCTTATTATACCACTTCACGC